AGGCCTTTTAACCCTTGTATGGTGTTCGGGTCTGTGAGACCCGTGTTCAGTTTTTGTCAAAAGAAAAATTAAACAATTAATTATTTTTTCACGTGTAAATGTGTTGTGTCTTTCCACTCACTCCACTTGATTATAACTGATTCATTTATAACATTTTATATAAAAGAAAAACGAGAAGCACATTAATTCATAAATGTGATCTAACAAAGGTAAAGGGAAAAAATTAACCATGTTTGCTGTTTATATGTCTTGTAATTGGGATGAAGTAAACATCTGTTGAGTAATTTAACATAAAATAGTTTGATAGTGTTAATTTGGAAAGCCAAAACTCTAGCGGGTCCACCAGACCCATGAACACTGGCTGAGTAACAAAAATACGAACACCACACAAGGGTTAAAATAAAGAGTCTTTGGTTTCAAAGTAGCTGTACTTTGACTTTCTCTCAATCGTGTGAAGGGAATAGTATGAAGGCAGTTTGATATTTGTGACACTTGTAATTGTTAGTATTAAGCATGAGTAAGCGAGAGCGAGTAAGTGCATTAACTGGCACTAAAGGACTGTATCTTCTCGGCCTGTTTCAAGGAGAAAGAGAATAATTATCCTCATGCTTAACTCTTAAAATGCTACCGTGACTCAGACTTGATCCTTTGAATAATCCAATGAAATGCAACTGAGTAAATAAAATCTTAAAAAGACTGAAACTTGTGCTGTGGAAAGCTGTGGCCCTGTACTTCCATTTAATTTGAACTCACACATTCACAGAAGCCAGTTTTCATAAATTTGCTATTCTGTACCGATTTAAGAGAGACCAAGGATCACTCATCCCATTTTATATCCTCAAAAGCTGCCATTTAGCTCACATGTCTGCTTATGAAGTATTCATGTGCTTGTGTCACAGTTTTACTCCAGATTTGGTTGGGTGTGGCTTTCCAAGCAGCTTTTGAGCTGCAAGTCTGGGATGGAACAAAAGCCTCTTATTGTAAAATATTTACTTGGATGAAATATATAGCTGTGCTCAGAAGTTTACATACAGTGATTTCCATGAACTCATCTCACTCGCAAATAAAGGAGGATCCAAACGCAGGCACTTGTAAAGGTGTGAGGGTGGTTTATTAAACACAAAATAAAAATGGGCAAACGGCAAAAGGAACAGAAGGCTATCTAAACTGAGAACAACTAAACTAGTGAACACAAACCAGGACATGAACATGAAGGAGGATGAGCAGCGGAGAATGACGACGGACAGCAGGGAAAACACACGAGTGAGACATGGTGGATACACAGACAGACCAGCAACTACAATGACAGGAGACGCGACTTAAATACTCACAGAGAAACACAGGGAGATTACACACAGGTGGTGGACACAGCTGGGAGTAATTAACGAGACGAGACAAAACTGAACACACTCACATGAGACGCCGACCTTCACAATAAAACAGGAAACAAGAAAACACTACACAAGGACGCAGACACGACACTGAGAGATAGACAGAAAATGACTCATGGAACTTGAACTATACTATACAGACACAACCGAAGGACAATTCCTAAAACATGAATAAACAGACACATAGAATTCCAATAATAATAATAATAATAATGATCAACAAAGCACAAGAGTAACAAAACGATCATTCAAAAATAAATCAAAACATAATAAACTCAAAATGCTGGGTCGAACCGACCCAGAACCGTGACATGGACCTGGATTTCAAGCATAGTCTGTAGGATTGAGGTTAAGACTTTAGGAAGACCATTCCAGAAGTTTAATCCAGTCACAAACCAGTTTTGATGTGTGTTTCGGTTCATTGTCCTGCTGGAACGCACAGTTTTTTCCAAGTTTCGTCTAGTCGTTGATTACTATTCATTATTCCATCCACTTTGTGCAGTGTATGAATATCAACAAAACAGCCCCAGAGCATGATGCTACCGCTACCATGCTTGACAGTTAGTACAGCCTCATCTTTATTCCTCCTAACATATCTCTTGTCATTGTGGCCAGAAACATCAATCTTTCTCTTTTCTGACCATAAAATGATGAGTACCCTCTCAGTCAGCGTTGTTAACCTTGCTTCGCTGTGGACAGTGATGCTGGCGTTCCAACAGTTTTCGGTTCATGGCAGGCTCTAGTCTTGGTGGTTTCTGGGTTGTTCCTTAACATCCCAACAAATTTCCTCTCATCTGAGGGTGACAGTTTGAGTCTTTTGCCAGACATGGGCAAAGTGGAGACGCGTCCGAATAACTTTGACACACCATTATTCAAACTGATGACCTTGGAGTAGTTCTTGTAGAACATCCAGCACAATTTAATGAAAGATTTTGAGTAAGTTTATGTATATGTTTGAGCCTGTATGCAAACTTCTGTTTGAATACGTCCGTTTGTATACTGTATGGATTTGAGAAAATCCAAAATAAGCCACTAAGTCAGTAAACATGTCTGCTGTACAATAATTTCACTGTGGACAAAGAAAAGTTGAAAGAAATGAATAAAAGTCTCAAATTACCATCATATTATGTAAAGTTGTGACCACAATTGTATGATTGTGCATAGTCTTGAGTCTTAGTGGTGGGGAGAGTAGCATCACTTATTATCAGATGAGCTGTTCCAAAGGCCAGCCTGACTTTTGTGCACTATATCATCTTCCATCAAAGAGCCTCAGCTCACACGCACACACACACACACACACACACACACACACACACACACACACACACACACACACACACACACACACACACACACACACACAATACTAAAAACCAATAGCTGGAAAGGGCAAAGGCAAAGTGCAGTGCAACACACACACACTCATAAATGCACTGACACATCTGATCACACTTCAGATCTGTAGCTGCCCGCTGCTGGTTCTGGTGCTCTTTGAAATGAAAATCAAATGAAAACAACCAAGAGGCAGAGCTAGACACTTATCATAGCAATGAACAGGCTCCGGTGTGCGTGTCTGGGTGCTTATTTATATGTGTGTTATTGTTGCACCGTATGTCGCTGCGTGCACTCGTGGACAGCCATCTGTGGGGCACAATTCACTAGCCAACTGGTATGTGTCATCAATGGCGGTGGTTGTGATTGGCTGACGATTATTGTTTGGCTTGATTCACCTCACCTCCCACTCCAAACTGGACTTACCACTGAGACACTAAGGTGTTATATAAGATTATTTTGCATACTTGGACTGAACCTTGCCCAGAAGAGGTCAGCCCATATGGATGTGATGGGGGTTTTTGACCTATATTTTTGAAGTTTACATTTTTCATGACACAGTGAGGGAATTGTCCAGGTTGAAAGACCAGTGTTCTGGCCTGTGTGCAGTGATGTTATGGGCAGTTGTGTGTCAGTTAGAGGAGTGAAGATGGCAGTGTCGGTAACAGTACTGTTGCAAATGAGTATTTAATCCAACACTAACTTTTACTATCCATTAGTGTCTGTGTATTCATTTTTTGGCCCAATTATCCATCCATCCAGTTACCTGCTATCTGCTATTTATCAAGCACTGGGTTGTGCAGCTGCAGCCCAGATCTCTCTCTCCTCAGCCACACTCCTTCAGGTTAGCCAATGGAGTATTCCTAGGCCAGTTGAGAGATACAGTATAATCTCTCCAGCAATCTCTCCACATAATCTCCTGAGTCTAACCCAG